TAGGAGTTGAATCCAGAATCTTGCACCAAGATCACTAGCCCTGAACCCCCAAACTCTGAATCCAGAACCCTCAAGATTGTTTAAGGTTGGAGCCATGGGCCCTAAACCCTAAACCTTTAATTTCAGATCCTGCATTTTGCAATTATACATGCCACTGAGGCTCGCAACCACCAAGCGTGTATCACTCGGCGCGAGTCCTATGGCCTTCTCCTCCTTTGCGGTGGGCTGGGGTGTTGGGCTTAAGATTAGGTTTAGATTTTCGGGTTGGGTCGGTTTTCAGAATAATGTGAAATACATCCGTTTGCGTCAAATCTTAGAATTATCCAGGTTCATTGTACCTCTGGGAGGGGCTTAGACACGCCTCGGAAACTTGGCACCCAGGAAGGTCGTACAGCGTATACCTAAACCCTCGAGGCAATCCCAATGGCAGAACCCCAGATTCACGTCTCATATATCCTTACTGCTTCAACTGCTATTTCTCAGATCCCCCCATAAGCCTGGCAAAGAAACCCTCAATCCTTGAGCCTGGTCGTAACAATGTCTACAGAACCTAATACGAAGGGAAACACATATCGCCCAAGCCCCAATTCAAATTCAGCTCCTGGAAGGTGACAAACGAGATTTCCTCCTGGGCAGGATATGAGGTTATGCGATACTTCTCCTACCGAGTGCAGGTGGGGGTCGCCAAAATTTGTTGTTGGTTCATAGGGATCCCCCCCGAAAGACCAAATTAATTGCATCCTCCTTGCAGGAACCCTTACCAGCCAACCTACTTTCATGAGGAGTTCCGAAGCAACGTAAGCAGGTGGAATGATAAAGGAGACCACGCTTTTGACACCTATCCATGTGTTTCTCTTAGTTGGCTTCAGGGAGCATGGGGATGAGGCTTTTGTTATTCCTGACTTTATCCTCCGCACAGCCGTTGACATTTCAAGTTTTCCAGAAGGGACGGACCTCTGTGAACTTCTTGGGTTGCTTCGCAAGACTCCCATACGAAAAAGCGGCCTGTTCGGAGGTGGCGGGTCCCCGAGAATTTAATTGTCCTGAAGCCCCTACACCTTGTATTGAATTCTGGCTGGCAAGGAATGAACAACACTAATCCTCAAGAGTAGTCACCATTTAGTTCACACTTATACAGCGCTTTTCAAGTTTGCTTCATTCCCGTCATTCCCTGCTTACCAGAGGTAAGCTTTGGCAGCAGAAGGCCTTGCAGCCAATACAAGTATTCCCTTGGAGTATGGGAGCGACATGACATATGCATGTTTTATTCAAAAGCCGGCTCTCCCTTGTGTATCCCAAACTGTTCCCTGGGGGTCTATATTCAAAAGTCCGGTCCTTGACTTGAAGATGCCTACAAAGAAGCTCAACGAATTCGGCTGCAGCAAGTTCTTTAGAACGCTACCAACCCGCGGATTGCTAATATTGTCTTTGCAGGTTTGTACACCGTACGCTGAACTGAACCCTGTTTTATTTCACCCTGAAACCGGAATAGAACTCCCTTCCTCCATCCTGGGGCTTTGGAGTTCTCGCGCTGACCCATCTTCAGCCGAACTTACAGCCGACGGCAAGCCCACGTCCCGGCTCTCGAATGTGCACCCAGGGACAAGTGAAATGACGACATCATGAAAACCATCTTTGCCAGCAAGAACCGCAACACAGGTTCTCAAGTAATCATGCCAAAGATGGAACGTGAAGTGGACGGTGGCAGCCGCCACCCTGTAAGTTAGACTTCACCCCAGCGCCAAGAACTGCATCTGAAGTTCGTGTGTTTTCCCAAAGCTTCAAACAATAGGCGTTCAAGATGATGCCTTCATTCCGTATCTAAATGCCCCGCACTTGGTTTTTCAGGTGCATATATTGCCATTGCTTTCTTTGCACTAGTTTGTTCCCCTTGGGCATCCTGCAGCCCGAAGAAAGCACCTTGAACGAAGCTGTCTCAACATCCACATATAACTACTGATTATAGATCCCCCAGCAGATAGGCAACATGATTGTTGGAAACATTCCAGGGCAGGTTCAGTGAATTCCTGAACCCTCAACTCTACATATCGCTATATAACCCATTATAGTAGCTTCCACTTTCTTTTCCATTATCCCCTTATAACCCCAATATACTATAGTAGTTTACATTTTCTTTTCTAATACCCCCTAGCCTACACAGCCAAGTTACCCCAGTTAAACCCCAAGCCCCAAACCCCCCAAGAATCTATGTTTTCAGTTCAGTGCTCAGGTGATGTCAAAATCCGCGAAGATGCTTCCGACCATGATGGTTGGCCGGGTTTGGCTTGGGAAGAGGTGGGGTTGTAGGGATTGGGGCTTAGGGTTTGGGGTTAGGGACTGGGGGTTTGGGTCTAGGGTTTGGGGGCTCAACGTTTGGGATCTCTTGAGGTTTGGGGTTAAGGGTTTGGAGAGCTTGAAATCAGAAGTCCACAGTACGTGTGCCAGTTCAGCTTGTGTCTCAAGTCATGCCCTCCGATTCAAGAATTTGGGCTTTGCGGGTGTCGTGAGCAGATGCACAGGTCTGAGACTCCCGTGTTGTAAAATGTTGAATACAGGCATTTGGCGCAAGACTTGAGTTCAGGTGAGTCCTGAACTCTCAGCATTGCCACCGTCCACCCCCCGAAGTTCCGCATAAGAGAATATTTATACTGGGAGGCATATATCATATTACGGGATGGTGGGTGTTCAATATTAGTCTTCGGATGAAGCTCGCATTTCGGACCTGTTTCAGCATGGATGAGCGGCTTTAGTATTCGGAGCGCGCTAGTGACCGCTAGTGCTGTTCAGTTTGCGTTCAATTTGCTTTGGGGCTGAGCATGAGAAAGGACTGCTTTCATAAGGCCTGAGCTTTGGATTTTCGTGTAGCTGCGAAGAACAAACCAAAAAAGGTTGAGAGGTTCCAGTTGGGGCAGATTTGTCATGATAGCGAGCATCAGATGCTGGAGTTTGAGGCTTCTGGCTGTGGATATTTCCACTCATTTGTTTAACGTTCCATTTCGCCTACAGCGGAGAATCAAGTGACGGCAGCTCCAAATTCATGCGCCGCTAATGTTGATTGCCCGTGGCATAGTTTGCTTGGTTCTCAAGAAGCGGAGATTAATAAAGAGACCCAACTTCCTAAACCCTGCCGACAGTTGTCTCTTTGCAATGCGCAAGGTCATGGTGTTTTGTAGGCCCAGATAGCCCTAAATTCCTTCTGAGTTAGCCTACGTGAAGCTTCCACATTCTCGAGCATACCTATATTCATTTCCAGAATATCCACGCGCACAGCAAAATCAATTCCGTCTTGCTCTCCCGTGCTCGTTTCCATATGCTCCCACATCCTAAGCTGTCAAACTGGCCCTTGACCGCAACCTCTAAATCCTCAAAGGTCCTCAGGGGCAGGCTTGAGTTTACGGGCCCCGGGCATGAGGATACATTGGGTAGAGCACGGCATCTGAATTTTGACGGGGGTCCGCAGATAGTGCAACTTTTGCTCGGAGGCAGGAGTTTCATTCCTCCAAGACAGACCCAGCATGCCACAATCTCGGAGGGGTTTACGCTGACAAAGATGCACGGCATGGAGGGATCCCTCTGCAGCAGGAGTTCCTAAACCCCAGGAATTCCAAAAGCCGAATGAACAAACCTAAGTAGCCTTGAGCACGAAAGTCCATACAACATGCCCACCACTCCCATGACCCCAGGTATTCACCTCCGGAGTACCTGCGAGCTGTACTGGCGCTTTGCTGCGTCTTTGCCATGCATTGCGCAGACGAGTGGGACCAGGACTCTAGTTGGATTGGCGTTTTTAATTCTCATCTGGGTTGGGCTTAAGGATGTTCAGAAGGAACCCATGTGCTGATCTGTGTTGAAGTGCTCAGAAGGCCAACCAAGCAGGATTAAGATGATTCCCGCTTAGGCTTGCGGGGTATAATCCCAGTTTCCATTTCGTTTTGCTATTATGGAGAACTCTAGTATCCCCTGGATGTCCTTATAACTACAGTAGTGTAGGAGTCGGCACCAAGGGTTAAGGGCTTGGAGACTAGAAGCCTGCTGGGAAAGAGGACCCAGTAGGTACACCCCAAAGACTCGTCCACCAAAGACATCATCACGCACAATGCAGTTGCTCAAAGAAGGGCTTTCAGTGGTTCTAGGCAGGCTCTGTGGTAAGAGAACAACCCAGAGCTCAGGGCCAGCAAAGCTGAGGGCTGGAGGCTTAAAAATGTTGATTTTGTAAATAAGCTAGACCTGTAACCCCATCACTTACAGCTTTATGGCTTATGCCTGCAATTTATTTTTCTTTTTGCTGAACTGTAGCATACTGTAGCTGAGTGAGGTAGCAGCCAGGGCTCAAGATTTCAATGAGAAAGGTGCCAGTAGACGGTAGGGGACAGGACCCTCTCCACAAATGAGCTATAGTCTAAACTCCTTTTAGGGGGTTATATAGCGGATTACATAGGGGAGTATTACAAGGTATTAAGGAGGATACTCGGAAATTAGACTAGTGACTATAGCTCAAATAGACATGGAGCCTGAGAAGGGGCCGCTTGTAGAATTGACCTTTTCCCGCGGACGTCGCGGACTCCCATGTTTGCTCAGGGGAGGCTAGGGCCATTTTAGGGTGTAAGATACTAAATATCAGGTGCATGGCATTCATGACCAAATCCCTGTCTTCTTGGTGAGATCAGAACGTAGCTTTTATCTGGGAAGCGGGTCTGTAATATCATGAGTTTCATGAGCTGAGGCTTTCAGGACTAATTTTTTAAAAATTAAACACGCCTTGCCCGTGGTATGTTTCTGGCAGAATATCAATTTTCTGGTCTGGGGATCCCCATACTCGTCCTACCCAAAAAACAAACTGACCGCAGCAGGAACTACGTGGAGGGTTAGGGTAAAACCCAAAATCTGCACTTCACAAGATGCAGGCTCGGAGCCAGTCAAAGAAAGCGCAGGACCTGCTTGCGTTGGAGATTGGTTTGCCTGTGTAGGATACACGCTGGGGGAGGTTTCAAGCTGTTGCGGGTGTGTTCCGAGCAGTCCTGAATAACTTTATCAAGCTTCTTGGACCCTAGCAACAAAATGAGTTAGAGCACCGACTGATGAACACAATTGTTTTTGCTGTTTGCTTGTGATTTGAGAAGCCATGGTGTGCGTATTATGATTCCTAGCACCAACGTGGTCATGATCCTTTTGCTGTTGTGCTGTCATTGTTGCTGCAACGCAGCTTCACTCGCATCAGCAACATCGGCATTGTTACCTGCCATGATTGCTATGCTCTTATTCTCGCGGCAAAAAACAGGAGTAAACATAGTAGCAGCGAAGCTGTAGCACTGTAGCAGCATAGCCCAGTAGCAGATGCCGCGCCGGCCGGAGGGGTAATAGTAGCACAGTTGCGCCAGTACTGGTAGTAGTGGGATGAGTAGTACTGTGGAAGTAGCAGCCATGATGATAGTAATAGTACTAGTAATATTGATAGTAGTGCATGCAAGGGGAGGTGTAGTAGTGGCACTATTAGCCGTAGCTGTCGTCATTGTATTTTTGAATATGGCAGAGAGGCAGTAGCAGGAGCAGCAGCAACAGTAATCAAGTAACAATGACCACTTCTTGCTCAGCCTCTTCATGCAAGAGTCTTGTCGTACCTCTTACCTCATTACCAGCAGTTTGTGGCTTCTACCCTATACTTAGAGGTGCTGGTCGCCTCCTGCTTTGGGGTATCGTGCGTGTGTCTCGAAGTCAGCTCCCCTTATCGCATCCCAGCACGAAGGATGATCGTATGCACAAGGACACCCAAAGGGACCCCTGGTTGAGAGATCCCAACATGCACAGCTCTTTGTTGTGATCTGCAAGAGCATCCACAGACCAATACGTCCGAGACCCTTCGAGGACTGGGCAATGGGGGCCGGGATGCTCGGGATCTTCTTCATTGCTGATAGCCCCTGGATGGGTCTAGGGTTCAGGGGTCGGATTTCGGTCTGTTTGTTGGTTATTTAGAGAGTTGACAGCCCCTGGATGGGTCTAGGGTTCAGGGGTCGGATTTCAATGTGTTTGGTGGGTATTTAGAGGGTCTTGAAATTTAGGAGCCTCGAAACCCTCGAGGCCATAAACCTGAAACGGCACCGCGAGCCCGATGTCTCAGTCCCATTCCTTTTACCATCTCAACAGTCCCACAGCAAATTTGCGCGCAAGATCCTAAGCCCGAAGGCCTCCAAAGATGATTCGAAGCCTAAGTCCTCATTACCAAGACATACCTATTTCTGCATCATTACCCGAGAACGCCACACATGCCAGAGTGTAAGCCAAACTGGAGTCCCGAAAGTTCGAAGACCCCAGCTTGAGAAGGATTTGAGGTTTGGGTTGCAGGTGTTGGACGAGTTTTTGGACTTGCTTTAGCCCGTTTTTTTTTCTTTTCGGAGTGCAGAAGTGAAGTTTTTGGAGTGTTAGGATTCATTGTTGTGAGGTTTTACGGTGTGGAGCGTTGGGGGTTCAGGTGCCGAAGCTGACCGCCGTAACCGCGCAAAACAGCAGACGTCGCGGATGCTGCGAACCATTCTACTCTGGTTGGGTCCAGGAGGACCCCAAACTCCCCATCTAGGGTTAAGGGTCTAAGATCCACCCCGGCAATCGAAGCAGAAACTGCAATTTCCAAGGCTATACGTCAACGATCCAAGAGGGTCTCTACCAGGAGCGCGTTCAATCTGGGCTTCCCCTTCCTAGACTGACATGAGACCTGAGGAGGAGTCATTTGTAGACTATGACCCTTGAACAACATGACATGCAGGCGCACGAAGCTCACACAACCGCATTGCGACCCAGTCGCCTTGATATTAAGAACCAGTGACATGTAGGACATACATTAATCATATTTTTCCGCTAGAATCCGCAGATATTCCTAGCGATCTAGGAACCCATCCGACCCTATGGACCTTGCTGACCTTCCGGCACTGTTGCACAATCTTCGGCTTGGAGGGGGAAGACTGGTGTTAGCTTCTCGGGTTGGCACTATACACTCTATACATTATACATGGCCACTTGCATCCGGGGTGTTTGTTTGTTGGATTGGCGGATGGCTTCTATCGCAGATCCTCAATCTGGTAACTAGAACCAGACCAACACTTCACTGTTGACTGTAAGGGTAGGCATACCCACCCCACCAATGAGTCACCAATGAGCGAAGTTTTCAAGATTTCCGACAGGAGAAGGGACTCACCGAGGTGCAGTGACTCAGATCCAACCAGATGTCTTGCGCAGAGGGTATGATTTGCTTGGATCACATAAGCTGCAAGGCCCGTATCGTTCTTGGAAACGCCCACTAATGAACGCTTGCGGCCACATTTTCTGTAAGGCAATAAATCAGCAACCAGAGCTCGTCTGCTTAACGGGGAACCTGCGTTTTGTGCTTGTGTACTGTCCGGTTCTGTTGATTTACTTTTTTTTGCATTTCTTACAGATGTCTGGTGGTGTCAGGAAGAGCAGGGCACTGAAAGCCTTGCTCCACGTGCCCTGACCCAAGAGCAAGGCTTTTGGGAGTGAGAAAATGAGTGAGGGAACGAGCGGCGGCCTGACGCACGCTGTGGAAAAGGAGTGGGGACGTGCTGGACACTGCGCTTTATAGAAAACGAGATACGCGAAGTTCCTGATTTTTTGCACTGCTATCTGAAGATACTTCAAGATTTTCCGTGGCAAATGAATGCAAACCTGCGCGCGCGCAGTTCTCTGAAGCACAAGAAAATTCGCAGAGCAGTAGATACGCACAGAGAGTAACAAATGGCACTCTCCTTGACTACCTGGCCGCATGGCTAATGGGCCCCAATGTTCCTAGGCCCTCATTTGGCGTGCACATGACAGAATGTCAGGTCTGGTTGCAGTGCATCACAAAAGTGGATCCCTCCCTGCCCAACAAATTAACGACTGGCAAGTATGCAAGAGGGGTTGAACAACATGAATTGCCATATCGCTCCTTGCCTCCCTGCCTTCTGCAGCCAGATCATCATCTAAACCCTGAACGAAAAACCCTGCTACTGGGAAAAAATCGCACTTTCCTGCGACAAGCCACCTATCCGTAGACCTTGGGTACAGATACATGTCCCATGATGTACCAGAATCATGATTCCTGGACTGGGCGGAGAAAATCCCAAATTATGACCAGGTAATATAGTAATAAGCAATATCTCGTGCCTCTTCTAATTGCTCTTACAGGTAACAGTGGTGACGGGTACCACACCTACCTAGCTTCTGGAATGTGATGATTCTACGTTTCCTTAACCCTAAGCCCCCACCCCCTTGGGTTTCCCTCCTAGATGGAATTAAGCTTGCAGGGACATTATACGCGTATCCCTCACACTCGCCTCGAGGCGGTGACTCTATTATTTCCGTAACTTTTTTTTCCCGACTGATGTCTGGACAAAACTGCGAATGAAAACTCCCACCCAAGTGTACTTCCCACCTGAGATACCCTGAACCTCGGATCAAACATTGCAAAGCCAAGGATGATGCTTGGCGGGAACCTTTTGGGACTTTCCGTATCCATGGTACGGATTGTGTCCTCTTTCTCCAAGATTTCTGCCTCCATTGATGCCATGTCCTCGAACGGCGCAGGCTTGGGGTTTGTGGTTTCTGGGTCAGCGGCATTACATTGCATCAGGCTGGAATATGATTGAGCTGTTTATTGTTCATATTTTGGCGTAGAGAAGTCCTACTTATGTGTGTTGTTCTGCTGCGCATGAGCAGGTGCCGAAGCCTTTTTCGAGCCCTGAATACCCCTGTCCTTGATTGGTATCCTCTTTCCACACCCACTAATAGAGGTGCATAGGTACGGCAGTTCCGGCCTTGAGGTCCGGCAAAGTTTGAGCAGGCGTGATGAGTTGAGAGACTCATCCCGCCCCAGGAGGTTCCCAACTTAAGGAAACCTGCTCTGTTCGTGTATCCGGTAGGGGCACCCTGATGAACTTGGCTGCGCATGGCTAGTAGAAACTCAACAGGGAGGTTCTTAAAATTGCAAGGCTATTTATTAAAGTTCTTGGAAGGGTACCGCTGCAATCCTGTACCCTGCGGGCACCCCGTTTTTGAGAACGCTTCGTTTTTGAGAACGCTTGAAGTTTGCTAGCAACTCTTGGAAGTGCCAGCCAGATATCCAGCCTATGTTCAGACGTTAAGCTTTGCTGCTACTACGGTTACCACTGCTATCTCCTCTAATTAGCCGTGCTATAGCAGAATTGAGAAGTGGTGGTTGCCTCATCTTGCTGTCAGGCATTCCTGAGAGCCTGCGCGCTCGGAAACTCCCGTATGTACTCAATTCTCCTTGTGCGGCGTCGAAATCCGTCGCTTGTGAATTCGTTTCGTTTCCAATGTGCCTGGGTCCCCGCACGTAATGCCAGAGAAACATGGGGGGCCCTGGATTTTCAAAAGGTCATGAGGGCCGAAAGCAGAAGACCTAAACCCAAATTCCGAAGACCTGCCTAACCTCTATTGGGGTTATATTAGGGATGTTATAGGGAGAATGGAAAAGAAAATGGAAACTACTATTTATGCCTAACCTCTTGTCTTGGCAAGGCATGTTCTGGCGACTGCTTGGCCTAGGCTCGGCTACCGAAAAGGGGATATAGGGATAATGGAAAAGAAAATGGAAACTACAGGGATGATAGGGGTTATATAGGGATTATTAGGGACCATATTAAGGTTTATATTGGGATAATGGAAAAGAAAATGGAAACTACTATTTAGGTAAGTATAGGTAAGTAGGTAGGTAGTAGGTAGGTAGGTAGGTAGGTAGGTAGGTAGGTAGGTAGGTGGGTAGGTGTGTCTGTACATATTTTGTGTCTGTGTGTTTGTGTGGGTTTTTAGTGTCCTTTGTTAATCGTGTAGCTACGGAGGGCAATGAAACATACACATCTCCCATTTGCCTTCCGAAGTATACTGACTACCCCCCCAAACCCAAACCCCTTCTATTATGCTGACAAATTCGCATCGAACAGAAATGCTAAAGGATCAGGTTTTATGCGGGTTGACTTGCTGTAGTGTCCAAATCCACGGGCAACATGGTTGGTCAGTAAGCTTTCCGGAACCAGGACGGTTGAGAGCTTCCCAGCCTCAAGGCGACCCTAAATTCCTAAATCCGAGACCTCAAGCATTGGGACAACAGGAAACCTTTACCACCATTGGCCCACCCATACTTGCAGCTCACTCGGAGCGGGCGCTCTTCATGTCCTTAAGTCCTGAGTGATAGTGTGACGCGTCAAGAGGCACGGTCAAGCAAGCATCACTTGTTAGGAATAGCGTATGTAAAAGTTATGGTGCCCCTTCCCACTGGGTTTTTGACCTGCCTGTACATTGGGCCCATCATCAAGATGAGCCAAACTCACTTGCTTCCATGCATTTCAAGAGATCATTGTTAGGGTTTAGGTTAGGGATACAAAGGGCTTTCAAAATCCAGTGTCCCCTCTACTGAATACCGGAGCCAAGATTGGGGCCAATGTGGGGCCCTGAACGGAAGCTACCTTAGGCCAAAACCCTTGCCCTTGGCGTCAGGTCTCATGCCGGTTACCCCCATACAGGTCGAAATCAAAATCTTCCCCAGGCTGAGCCCAAACCTTTCATCCTAGACCTTGGCTCAGGGTGCAGAGTGTCAGACCTCAGCCAAGTCATGGGCGTAGTGGGCCGGATTTGCAACGAAAAGGACTGGTTCTTTGAATGAGGACCAGACCATGCATAAGGGCCCATGCCGCCTTCATAGCCTTACCTCCAACATAAAGCCTCGAACCATCATATGAGTGGCATAAACAAGTACCAAGATTGTAGAATCAAATGGGAAACATGGAAAGTAAAATGACAACCATCATTTAATGCCGGAAGGTGTCATGTCCGCTCTCACGCAATTCTGCATCTACTCGGCCATCAGCGTCCTCGGTGCTGATGGATTCGCGTGGGCGCAGGTGCCTGTCCAGTTCTGTGTTTTGGAGACGGAAACCCCTATAGGAGGACGGGTCGGACATGCTCAATATACTGCCATTTTCGAATCCGACCCTGTGTCTATGTTCATGTCTTGCAATGATTGCCAGAGAGGTTCGGAGTTCATGGGCTTGGGCTTCAGGCCTGGAGGTTTTTGTGTTCCCAGCTACCTTGTCTACGTAGCTTACGTAGGATAAGGTAGTTTCCCAAAATAAGGGGGGACCCCAATATAGACCCCAAAATACTATGGCCCTTATTAATGGACCCCTAAAATGGTACCCCGAATTTTGGGAAACCCTCAGTTGGCTACCAATTCGAGATGAGTCCGAATGTATCTGCATCAGCCTACTCTGAGGCTGAACACTGAAGGTTTAAATCATAAACCTTCAACATTATAGTTATAGTAGTTATATATATATATATATATATTTTTCCCCTAAATAACCCATTATAGTAGTTATATATATGTATATATCCCGTATATAACCCAACCCCAACCTCCAATCCTGAAACTTAAGCCCTACACAAAAGCTTGCATCAGAAATCCTCTACCCTAAATCCTTGACCCCAAGCCCAAGCCTTAAAGGAGTTTAGGTCTAGGCTTTAGGACGAGAACATAAGAAAGTAAGCTCCAAGGCCCCTCCTTTAGTCCTGGGGATTGGGTTTTTGGATTTAGGGTTTGGCTTTCGGGCTTAGTCTTGGGGCTTATCCTGAGGCCGCATAGCGCATGCCAACCGCAAAAGCGGGAGGCAATCACATCAAAGACATTCTTTTTGCAAGCCAGCATGCACTGATAAGTGCGATGAAGCTCATCGAGCCCCTCACCGGTATCCTAAACTCTGTAGTCTGTAGCAGTGAGAAGGCTTCCCAGAAGCTAGTCTCCGTGCTTGTGTCGTTGGCCATCTTCGGCTCGGGGATCAGCATCTTTCCAGCAAAGGGCTTAGGTTTCAGGGTCTAGGGTATTGAGGGCTTAAGATGGAGTGATTATGGTTTAGGATTCGGGGTGAAGAGGTGAAGAGGTTTCTAGGCTGCAGCGCTTTTCAGGTATATAGGGTGTTGGTCTTTTGTCTAGATCAGTTGGTTGGAATTACCGGATCTTGTCCCTAAACTCCCTTCCGTTCTTAGTACGGCAGGGTGGAGGAATGGTCAACAAGTGTTTTTTCTAATAAGGTTACTGATAGACGTTAGCAATAACCGCTCTGACACGCTGCAGGACCATTCACAAGTGGAAAAAGTTGAGGTCCTCTCATGAACCTGCCAAAAGAGATGGGCCCTATTGATGCCAACTTCGGCCGCTGCATGTAAACTCAAACGCTCAGCCATGAATCCACCTGGCAGGTTCCGGCCTATGTTCTGGGACTCAGGCTCCGAACCCCAGGCTTGCAAGCTCAGCAGACCAGCAAAGGCCCAGCTTCATAAGCACACATCAGCTTCCAATACCCGAAACCTTGAACCTGCCACATTTCTCGATGAATCACCTGGTACGAGTTGCAAGTTCATGCGGCGATATGGTCGGGTGCAGCTGGCGGCATTGTCCACCGAACCTTCAGGATGCTGGTTAGTTTACGGTGCAGGGTGGAGACTCTTGTTGTTGCAGCCGCGATTGTAATATCTTAGCCAGCATTAGTATGACATTGTCAGAGCATTGACCGTCGCCGCAGCCAGGAAGCCAGTCGTGGATTGTAGATTGTAGAATGAAGATCGTGTCGGTTGTTTATATTGAGGAGAATGCCTTGTCTCGAGAACAAGCCCTAACCTAAACCTTCATGTTTTCAAGCTCAGTATGAACGAAAATGTGATCCTTTGGCAAACAAGGAAAGCTTAAGTGAAAGAGTCATTCGCCAAACTTCCCTGGAGCCTTGAACTGCCACGTGGGCCCAGTCTCTTCTGCCCCCTGTGCCGCATGCATTGTCTCACTTCCCTAGCCCGCCCTACACACCTACTCCTTGCGAGGTACTTTGATTTGCTTCTTGTTTGTCCTTCCGTCCAAAACAAATTTGTCTTGAGCCGAAGAAATGGCGAAGAACTAGCGCATTTGCCTTCGCCTTCCAGATTGGTGTTACCATCGTCGGAGTCCACTCTCCTTTTGTTTAGGCCTTCTGTACCCAAAGTCAGAGCTACAACGCAACAACTACCCATGTTAGAAGAAGGACTGCAACAAACATCCACTCCCCTATACAGTTTGTGTGTACCCCAACCATCCCCAACCCATACCCTAACCTTCAACCCCTATATTCTATATAAGCTATAGTCTAAACTCCCTAAAGTGGTTATACAACGGATTATATAGAGGACCACTATAACGGTTATTAGGGGGGATCCTAGGAGTTTAGACAATGGCTCATATACCCATAGCCGAGGTACTTTGAAGGTTTGCTGCATCCTCGGAGTCTTTGCCATGATGTCCTTTGACTTGCCTTAGACCTAAGCTTCGGGGTTTAGAATCGAATGGTTTAGGGAAACTTACACCAGGGCTTAGAGCAGTCCTGTAGTATTTAGAATGTCGAAAGTTTGGGGATATGGAATTTTTAGAGCTTGAGGGATGAAGGCCACTTTGGCATAGCCACAAAATGCCAATCAGCTTGTCCTTGGCCAAGCGGCGTGGCTTCCACTCAAGTTCAAACCCTGACCCGAGTCTTTATGGCGTGCGGCTGAAGCTTGTACACGTGAAGCCAAAAAAAAAAACAGACTTCATCAGGGGTTGCACACTTGTAGTCATAACCCGCGGAAACACCGACCCGAAAGATCATGCCAAGGTTCTGGAAGCAGCTCACGCGTCTATTCCGGCACTTGCGGACGAAGGCCCCACTGCGCATGAAGAGCAAGGAATCCTGAGATGAGGGGGGCTGACGCAGGCGAATCTATTCAGGGTTCAAGTTGTGCTTGTTTGGGCTCGCGGTTGATGCCGCCAGAATTCGAAAGCCCCATAGTTTAACGATGTATGTCAATGAGCTCGGTTTTGGGTTGTATGAGTTCTAAAGATTTGGGATTCTACTGTTGAGGTTTTCAGACGGTTTTCAGGCAGGGGCCAGGGAGATGCCTCTTGAGTTGAGACTATGGTTTTCGTAGCTGATGAGAGCAGACTTCCTGCGGCGGCTGGTCAATGATGTTGGACATGCAGCCTCTCCCGCTCATGTCGTGAGGTGGAAGGGTCCTGAGAGCTTGAGAAAACTGTTTTACTTAACCTTCATCCTTCCAAGGAAAGCCGTGTTGCATTGACCGAACAAAACATGAATTCTCAGCATGTTTTTTTTCCATAGCTTCAAGGTACCCTCAAAGGATACCGCCCACACTCACGACCTTTGCCGCCAGCGCTCTACTGTCTTGCGAGAGTCTCACACTCCTTTCCTAGAGCTGGTCCGGAACCTAGCTTTTCCCCTTTGCCTTTAAATGCTCTACGGTTGGGTTGTTGGGGTGTATGTTCGAAGGATTGGAATGAGGACGCCTAATAGGGAACCCCAAGAATATAGTAGGAATATTCAAGTACTAGGAATCTACTTACCAGGGCCTTATATTCCTGCTATATTCCTACTATATTGCGGGGGTTCCCTGTTTGGGGTCCCCATTACAGTCCTTTGGTTGTTTGACGGATTTCTTATTATCTTGGTAAATAGTCCCAACCAAAAATGGACGAGACCTTAAATCCGGAACTTAAGTAAGCGTGGCAGGTGGCTGGTGCATGAGGACTTAGGGTGCTGCAGTCAAGGAATCGGGACTTCTAGAAGCCTTGGGTCTGCAGGTTTACTGTAGGATTCCAACATGGTGGTTTTGATCCCCTGTTCCCGATGCAAACCCTTTTGCGGAAAAGAATGACAACCAGTTGGGGCTAAGGTCTTCAACAATGGATGTGGTGGTTGTTTTGGGGGAGAGCTAGTCCCGCAAATCCTAGTCAGCGTGACTCAAAGCCAAAGTTGCAAAGACTGTTGATGCTCCTGCGGAGACGTGGAACCCGAAATATGGGTTTCCGAAACCGGATACACATATTTTGAAGGCGTTACATCCCCATGCTAAGATGCATTTACTTTTCAAATTTTATACATAGGGAATCTTATATTGTCTCATATTATCTCTGCTCATAATCTAGTGATTGGATATCGAAAATTCACACATCATGATATATACAATATTTAGAAATAGATGGAAATGCCGACATTTCGCTCACGTTCGGCCTGGCTTTTCAGGCTCACCATTAAAAAAGCTTCCGGGCTGCCTGGGGGCTCTAAAATCTCGGAGAGTAGAGGCTCTGAGCTGGTCGAGATTTTTGATGCGGGCGGTGCAGCTAAAAATCTCGGAGATTTTTGGTCGCGCGGCCTTTGCCTCCGGAGCGGTCTTCCGCGTGGTTTATCTTTCTTCGGCAGAACGTATAGTTCCGGGGTGGAGAAGCAATATTAAGCAGAATTTAAAGGGGGGTCGTATCTATTTGTCGGGATTTATGGGCTCTATAGAGCCGCTGCGTAGATAGATTAAGAGAGATAAATTTGACGGAAGAATCGGAGGGGCGGGCGGGACCTCACGATCGAAACTATCTCGATATTTCTATTTTATCTTACGACGATTGATAGAATATATAGATTCTACGTTGAATTTATAGATTAATTATTTATAGGAGAAAAATATTCTTATATATTGAACAATCATCGAATTAAAGAAAATAATTTCTTTTGATAAAGATTCATCTATGAAGACCATGAATTCAATAAATTATCTCGTAATGAAGAATTTATAATGGGTTTTGCGGCGATTCAGATTCTTTAAAGATAGAAATATAAATAAAAAAAAGGTGAGGTATGGATATTTCTCAATATTACGGTGCGATTATTTGGATTTAGATTTGGATTTTCTGATTTATATCAATACTTCTTAGGGAATCTAAAATCTTAGAGATCTTAAAGCTCTTCGGAAAAATTAGAAATTCAAAAAATCTTCAAGATTTTGGGGTCGGCGATATTACGTTCAAAACTTTCTGAAATTTTTGGCGGAAGGA